GTATTACTTGTACTTGTAGACTTGAACGTGAACATAAGATACATTCCGTACACTTGATCTTAGCACGGCTAACTCTTAAGACGGTAGCGATCTTAGTTTAAGTTTCAGTGTACATCTGAGTCCTCTCTGTGGTAAGTTAACGCAAGCAAAATAGGAATGTAGACAGCTTTGCTCAAGCCGACCCTTGGGGGACATTCATGCGTGTTGATGTGGCGTCCATCGCGGATTCTCTTCACTTCGACCTCGACTGACTCATCGAAGTAGGATTTCGGTTTACTGGACTCGCCTCCAAAATACAGCAAAATAGACACTCTCGGCGATGTTAGTACTGGCATGACGACCTTTCAGATTGATTAAATCGATCGGTATTTCCGTGAGTCAGCCATCAGCATTGGAATAGTAGGGCACAACATCACCGATGAAATAATTACGCGAAAAGTGAGACATTAATAGTCAATCGAGTGTATCCAAAGGAATGAGTCCTACAAGACTCCTCGCAAAGTTGGTTGTATGAGCCTTGCCCTTTTCGTAAGCTATCGCCGAGGTATTCGCTGAATGATGGTCGCAGGGCTCGAGCGAAACGCTGGGACCCTCGCTGTTAAGTTGACAGTGTCAACCGTTATCTGGAGATGATGAAATCGGTCATTGTCAATGGAACCTCCCTATTCGTCTTCCACTCAAATAGGAGTACTGTCCTTTTCCAAGCTGCACTTCTACTTGTGGGCCCTAACCCCGCTGAAAGTGCCTCTTTTCACCTTTAATGTTACACCAAGGACATTCTACTTCAGTATCACTGAGCCTTCTACATTTCTGAAATATCCGTTCAAGTAGTGTCACCGGCGGCATGCAGGAACACCCAACTAGTGAGTTCGATCCGAGAGTCCGCGGGAGAATATCACTTACTTGCAACGCAATAGACGACAAATCATCACTGAGTCAAACTTCAAGCCACTGATCGCATTATCATCATAAGACACGTTCAATTGCGTCGATATGCAGACTGTGGAGTTAACTCAAACCCAAGCGATTCGCTTGGAACAAACCACACGCAGTGAACCTTCAGCTCCATGTAGACTGCACGTCAGAACACTTAATCATCGGGCCGCTCCGCCTCTCCCACAGCAGCCACTGTCATGCAGTGCCGCGACCCCAGCCTCAGCGTCCTCCTCAGCGACAACTATAGTGATATTCCTCTCACTCGAGCCCTGCGCTACAGCACAGATGTTAACTCGGGCAGAAGCCAGCGCAGTCGCCGCCCTACCGAGAATGCCTGAGGACGACGCGGATAATTCCAAGGTGATTGAGAACCCTACCGATCGATCTAACCATACCATCACCAACCATCGCTAACATCGCCATGCCTGTCGTAGTAGTAACGCCAAAATCATGGTAGAGACAAATTTCTCGATAGAAAGCTCGTTCGATCGCCGCAACACACCTCTCGCGATCAGCAGTACGTATCGCAAAACAGATGGAGTGCTCCGAAGAAGCCTGATGCAGATGCGATGTGACAAAGGTTTGGTATCGAGTCCAACCTGTGTGAACATGATAACATTAACACCGGCCTCACCGACTGCTCCAAAAAGACGACTGGCCAAACCGTTGACACCAATCAGTCCACATCCCTCTACGTTGACCAAGCAAATGCCTGATGATCCTCCATGGGGACGAATAAGAAGAGAGAAACTCAATTGACTCACCCTTCATGGTAGACACTGCCTTAGCAGTGAGCTGATGCCGACAAGGCGAGCCCGGTGGGGTCGGTAGCGAGGTTATCAGAGTTCCTGGAACACACTACCGAAGGAACACGTAGGAACTTGAGCATAAGAGTAAATTCGTTATTGCACTAGAGCTTCTATATTGTTCATCTACTATTTAATACATTGGTCGCGCATCTCGCAGTCGCTTCGATTCCACATACGATCCAATCACCACAGCAGTTAACCCTCATCACTCCATCTCACCTGAGCATCCCCGATTGAATGTATTTCTCAGTATAATCGGTATGTTCTTATCAACACACGGTGCCATCGTCTTCGGATGGAGAACCTCATATAAAGATCTAGCATTTTCACTCGAATTGATCACCAACCTTCGCCCCGAACCAGGCCATCTCCGCAGCTTCCGAATACGACAATGACTCCAACATTTCTGCCTTCTTCACAGATCTCGGATCGCCGGAGTAACTGCCCCCACAGTGAAGCGATGATGTCTCTCCGATCCCATTACACTCCATCAACGTCGGTCCATATCGTCAGCCGCTGACATCCTCTGGACGACTGGTCCGAGAGAAGACGGGCAACTATAGCAGCACTGAGAGCACACCATTATGAGGGAGGGAGATACGATGGACGGCACCTCAGGTCGCTCCCATTGCGTTTCAAAGTAGTGGGTGCTCCGGACGCTTCCGAAGCCACGAAACCCGTAATGATGGTCACCTACAGCAGCACGCTTGTATGTCATAATAGACTTCTGATCCGTTGCTCTCTCTCACGGTGACCCACAGCTACCAGCACAGGCCAGATACGTTACATCAACTACCATCTAGATGAGCAGTAACATCTCAGGCAGTTGGCCCCCACATCATGAGATGTATATCCACATCGATGAAGGTGGGACTACTGAATAACGCGTAAAACAACTGGAATGGGGTGAATCGTCCGGTGTCATTCGTGAAGTGTTTCCCTTCATATCCCGTGTCACAAACGGAGTATTACGCCGCTTCATGAAAAGGGAGTAGAACTCCACTGTAATAATCCTATACGATCACATCATTTAATACACTTCCAAAAAAGGAGCCGAAATGGTCGAGTTTGCGACTTCCTCCGCACCATCTTTGAGGTAGTTATCAAGTCCAGACATCGAAGCCCCACTTCACACGGAGTCTTAGAGTCTCACCTCGAATTCAGCAGTCTCCTTTTCCACCTCCACCATTTTCATACCACTCTCATCCCAATTAACTCTATCACTGCCCTCTTCGAGGAATATGACCCTCCGACCATCCACAACCGTCGATCGTACTCCGTTGCGTTCCAAAGCCGCACATAGAAGCCTGGCGCTCCACGATTCGCCATAGCCCATGATGACGTCGTAAAATGGTTGTGGACAGACTCCAACCACTTCAACCGACTTCAAACAACATGCGATTCTTTCCGCATCTTTTTCGAATTCTTTCCGATACTCTGACGAATTTTCCAAACTCCCGAGGCAGGTGATACAGTCATAATGCCTCTTTTTGATGACATCAAGATCGGGCTCCCATTCGATATGCCTTTCGGCTAGACTACATATTTCATAGAGGGAAGTTGTCACACCGGACATGGCAGAAACGACAACAGCGAGATGACCGCTACCACAACAGTTGACCTGAAAAGCCAATACGAGGGCAGAGTACCGGGCGAAAGAGTATTGATGTTGATTGTGGAATATAAAGATATGGTTCTCGATGAAGCACACACCGAGGAGATCGATGAGCCGTCGTGGGGACGGTGAACAAACAGATTCCGATCAAGATCAGTGATAGAGAGAACGATAGTGATGATCTAGTCATAATGTAGGGGAGGAATGAGGGCACATAGCAAGAGAGAAATAGATTGACTTTACGGTGAAGAATTATAAGGAAGCTATTGATTCTATACTGATAATTCAATAGGGAGATAATTACATGAATTATGGATGGTGGAAATGTATTTTCAAGAATATCCCACTCCTCCGGTGCTCATCGTACTGTTTCGCAAACTTCAGGCTAGACTACGAAGCCTCAAAAAATGCTGCGGTGTCATGAATCGTGCTCACGAAAACCGATTCACATTGCAGCAGAGGGTTTCACTTCAAGTACCCCACAGCGACAACTTCATAGGTAGACACCGACAGTTACAAAATACCAAGGTTTACTTCGAACTATGCGCTACTACCTCATATGTTATGATATCAGCAACCTCCTTGATAGCCTCGGGGCTTCCCATACTCGTTCCGCCGAATTTATGAACTCTCCAACCTTCACTCGACTGTGATGCGGCATCTGAGATGGATCTCATTTGGATGCTCAAGAAAAGGCCCATATATCATAACAGGAGAACGCCGATTATACGAGAACCTTTTGGAACCTTTTGCTACTGTGGGTATGAGCTGAAACTATTTCAAGCAAGTAGATAGCGTATATTGTGACCCGCTCAAGGGTGTATATCTCCCCCATAATTCACTACCTTCACTCCCCATATCGATACACTCCATTGCACTGCCAAGCCGCATCCGACTTCCTCCTGTCATTATAAGGCAGTTGAGTGAAAAACTGATGAGAGGGAGAAGAATATCTTAATCAACATCAATGTTCGTTTATTCAGCGTGAAAGTAGTGATGTTGTATCTTGAGGTTGAGCAGGCAAGATACGGATGAGGTCCAATTGTGAACCAATGATTTGTGGACGCACAATTGTACACATGAATCATGTGACATGATAGATACCTAACGGTAACAACTACACCCGATGAAGATTGGATGAGGCGACTATGCCACTGCCCCAACGCATGCCGTACTGCAACAAATTCCTCCGGGTGGGGCGACTATGCCACTGCCCCAACGCATGCCGTACTGCAACAAATTCCTCCGGGTGGGGCGACTATGCCACTGCCCCAAGATATGTCTTACTACAACAAATTCCTCCGGATGGGGCGACTATGCCACTGCCCCAAGATATGTCTTACTACAACCGATTCCCCGGTTGGGGCGACTATGCCACTGCCCCAAGATATGTCTTACTACAACCAATTCCTCCGGTTGGGGCGACTATGCCACTGCCCCAAGATATGCCTTACTACAACCAATTCCTCCGGTTGGGGCGACTATGCCACTGCCCCAACGCATGCCGTACTGCAACAAATTCCTCCGGTTGGGGCGACTATGCCACTGCCCCAACGCATGCCGTACTGCAACAAATTCCTCCGGGTGGGGCGACTATGCCACTGTCCCAAGATATGCCTTACTACAACCAAATCCTCCGGGTGGGACGACTATGCCACTGCCCCAACGCATGCCGTACTGCAACAAATTCCTCCGGGTGGGGCGACTATGCCACTGCCCCAAGATATGCCTTAGCAGGACCAATTCCTCCCGGTGGGGCGACTATGCCACTGCTCCAAGACATGGTTGTTACGGGTTAATCGGTTCCAAAAAGAGCCCCTCATATATGAATTATTTAACCTCTTATCAGGCTACCCATTATGAACACTCAATCGAGACAATCGAGACGCTATTCCTCATTAGACGAAGTGGTGACACTTGCTCGTGACCCGACAAGACCTCTTCTGGGCGATCTGTCACTGCACACTCTGGACAAATTCACATGAATCGGACGAGTTATCGACCGCCCAGCGCTGAGAGATCCGCCCTACTTCGATGTGGGCAGGAACCCGACGAGATATGCAATTGAGGAAATGCGCCGACGATAATCATGTGGATGCGTGCAGACAGTCATCATACCATTATTGATGCTTGACAATAGAAGTAAACAAGTATTCAATAGGGGAACTGAAATTGAGCGTGACAATATCACTCAATATAATGACTCAGGGGAAAACACCATCAATTGCGGGGCACGCAGGTACACAGGACTGCACGCACGAACAAGGCGTCCATTGACGCTTGCAGGCAGAACCGTTTACTTGGTGTCTCATTGAAACCCACCGCAAATGTTATCAACGGGCCACAACCCGCTCAAGAAGATAAACGAGCCCGCGAAGCAACTGCGGAGCGGTAGCCTTCCGCCGGAAGGTATACATATACGAAGAGCTACCCACAACAAGCCTGTAGTACAGGCTACGATACGCCTCCTAGATGTTTCTCGTGATCGTACATGTGCAGTACTGTAACGGTCTACTTCGCTCGGCGACGACACAAGTTGCCGCACTCTCGATTTTGATTGTGTGGTTGTGTCCGCCCCGGTGACTCAGGTCTTGTAACTAAACTTGGTTACTCCGTAACCATCACTTTCGCGAATCCTGCGTCCGGCGTTTCATCGTCGCGAGCGGAGCTCCCGTTTGCAGCGGAGGAAAAACTGCATCGCAGTTTTTGCATAAGTACGAATAGTTGATGGTTGAGAAATGAGTAATGTGCCGGAGGGTAATACTTCTACCATCTAAGGAGAAGGGAACAGTTAGGTGGTTTGGTAATCTGCCCAATCAACGACGGGAACGTGTCGGGTAGATGACCTTCGATGATGATGATGATTCACCAGCTCCCTCAGGATCGAAATGGACGGAGTACATGATCCCGACTATCACGATGGTACGTATGATGGATTTAAATACTTTGACACACACCAATCACAATGCGGCACTTTTGCCAAATTGAAAAAAATGGAATACTCTTGATTCGTTATCAGTTATTATTTACTAATTCGTTATTAGTCAAAGTTGTTATATAATTCTCAGGTTAATTTCGGCAAAGACCTTCGGCTATGCCTCCGCGATAAATACCAAACGTCAGTTGGATATGAAGAAAGTTGGCTTGTAGGGGAAGAAGACGTAAAGAGGAAGTTGAAAATACGATGGACGGCTGATGATCGACGGAATTCAATCGACAGGCGGAAGTCAATGAATTGGAATGTGTCGGATTGGAGGGAAGCGAATTGGCGACTTTAGGGGAGGTTGGAATTGGTACGGAAATTGTGACGATGGAATTATTGAAGGTCTTCAGATGAACTCGCTGGGATGTTAACTCGAGTCCGCGAGTTGAATTTGAAATATTCTCTCCTCGACGATTGGCACGACGTTGAAGCTCTCATCGCCGCTCTGCCCAACCTCGAGCATTTGTCTATCGCCGGGAGTAAATCCAATAAATTCCCAAATGGGACGGCCGAACGGAGAAACAGCGGATGCCGGACATCCGGTGCCCGAAATTGAAGAGCTTAGACATCTCCTCGGCTTTAATCCCATGGAGGGAAGTGACGACTCGTTGCTTCGTCGGACTGGACAATTAGCATTCAGTCAACTTATCAGCCAACGGATATGATTCCGCTGTGGAGGGTATCAGATGATACTATCATCCTACCTGCCCGCCTGATGGCGGTCGTCATGATGGACAACCAATTCGCTGATTTACGAAAAGTTCTACGACTTCTTCCGTCGTCTGTTGAAGGTGTGAACCTTTGTACAACAAAGTTTGTTGTTTGGCAACAAAATCGGAGATGTTCGCCCATCGGCGATCGACAGTTCGACGATAAGAGAATTGTCAATCTCTCGGAATGACATTAAAGATTGGAATTGGATTGGCGAGTTGACGAAGGCGTTACCAAAGTTGAAGGCATTGCGGATTACAGATAGCCCAATTTATGATAAGTAAGTCGTTAAAAGACGTGGAGTCTTCGAGGCATCAATTCGCAGTTACGTGAATGATTTACGGTAAATCCAAGTTGCGGAAGTTCGGCTGACGCTGAAGCTGAAAGGAAGACAATTGGGTCGATGGCCGATCAATCGCGTCAGGTGGGGTCCACCTACGGGCAATCGATTGGTTTTCGATTTCGGGAGGACCAAAATTTTGAAAATTTACTCACATTTATTCATATGTGTGTTCGTTACGAGTAACTCGCATGCCGCCTTTGGGATGTTCATAGCATTCAACCAAACTCGAAAAGGCCTTCTGCCGGGGTTGAACCGACCACCTCCCGTTTACTAAAAAGCCGCTGATCCCAGGGGGCAAAAGAATATGAATTAGTTTTCTGGTCTATTTTTCTACGGTCTGAGAGAGAAGAATAATAGAAAGGGATAATAAGGAAGGGAGAGGGGAGGGAGGGTGGGAGTACAGCAGGTTTAGGTGTGAAGCACCTTTGGGAGACCGAAAACACCAAAATGGTTGTGCACAGTCTTCCAGTATGCGAGCACTTATCGCGCTACGAATAATATATGCGCGGTGCGTAACCGAATTCAAAGCCACATGCATCGCACATGTAGGCGTTGTCACTGACTGTTAATTCACTATGATTTACTATCCTTGGCACGTGAATTTACTGAGAATAGGATCTGCGAAGTTGGGGTCACGGCGTGACCGTCACGCCACTCCAAAAAGTCAACGAAGTCTCCGTTACGAAGACTTATCATTGATAACTTATCAATGATAAGCTATCAATCGAAAACTGTTTATATAGGTTTTCTCGTGTCACCAATCGCCTTTCACAGTGTTTTCCCTGTACCACACCATTTCATTTTTTCCTGTCAGGGGGGTACCCTTGAGCAATATGCTGAAGGTATGTGATCTGACGACCACGATACACCAGCCCGCAAGGACTGGTAAAACGAACAAAAGCACTGGAGTCTAGTGATCCGGGGGTCAAACTCCAACACTTCCCGAGATCTCTGTAGCTCAGTTGGTTAACGCTCGTGGCTTGAATCCCACCCTAGATGATCGTAAAATACTCCCGACCTGGTTGGGAGTATTGAGATCTCGGTCTCAATCCTGAGGATTGAGTCCTCCTTATGTCCTCCTTATTGGTCCTTTGTACCTCCTCATTGGTCGGGCCGAGCAATAAGGAGGTCGTTTGAGACTACTTCTTTGACGGCCTTACCTATCAAAACTGTGTGCATAAGCTCCCGTCGGGAGCCTCCCGAGCTAAGAAGGCTGTGCTGAAAAGGTATCATCCTCCGCTTCCATCATGAATTTAGCTACTTATATCGCTGTTCCATGAGGTCGACGAACTGAATGGCTCGTCAATGACGATCAGCTAACATATAGCTGCCGAACGGTGAGGCCGAATAATTTCGATGCCGTTCGAATGCCGCTAGCAGGTACGTTTTGCATCGTCATTGTTCTCGAGACGTCATTCAATCGCCGATGCAAACACATCAACCGGAGGACGACTCATCGAAAGGTTGGAGGAAATTCATACTCATTTTGTGGAAGCCAATCAAGTCGGAGAGGTGGAAACGACTCGGGAGAATAAAATTGGAAAGACGCTACGCAAAAAACGATAGGTTGATATTCGAAACATCTTCGATTCAGTCGTGCTGAAGATCTTCCCGCTTGCTAATAAACAACCGATTGACGTCAGAGTTCTGTCAAGCATGAGAGTTGCCGACCTCAGGTCCCCCGGCTGCCGTCGTTTACATTCGCTAGTTCTCCTCAGACTTTTGGTATATAAAACAACTCGTTGGCCGCTGGATTTTGACAATTTGGCATTGCAACTTGGCGATGATCTTCTCTCTAGCAGTACGAAAGTTAATTGCATTTTTATCATCGTATTCAATCAAATCATCCGATGACACGTGTGCACGACTCGGATGAAGTGTCCTCCATAATCACCGATAAGGTTAATTCCACTTCCATCCGACCCGTTGTTTGAGAGGCATCAGTCATCAGTTGATCATCACCATTCCCCTTGAGAAGGTTGATAGTTGCGGTGGTTGGGCTATGGTGTTGTTCGAATCTGTCCCGTAACTGGTGTAACACAAAGGGATACTGTAAACTAGGGAGGTAAGCTGTAGACTGGGAAAGAATAATCGTACTGATCGTAAGGCGAAGGTAGTACTGTGTTCTCACGCGCAGCGCACAGACGAAGTACGTAAAAATTGTCTACCGTCCTCGGATAAGCGATGTTAACTCTTGACCAACATTGTCCTGTTGACGAGACCAGGACAAGGATAATCAATGTTTTAGAAAGAACGACAGAAAAAAATACCATGGAATGTTGAAAATCGAACGAAAGTGGATAATGAGTCTGACGACGTGATCTGTGACGACAGCCTTTCATTTGTTGTAGCGGGCATAAGCTACAGCCTCAAATTTTCCCTTGTTGTCTGAGAACAGAGATATTTCGGATGACTAGTGAGCGCGATGCCGGGAATTTGGACACACTGTGCCATCTTTCGAGTTGAACAAGAAAACTCACCCAATATTTTAATAAACTTATATTCTTCATACAGGGCGATTCGAGCATGATCCGTAGGGTTCGCCCAGACGTAGACAACATCCCAGTTCGGCTTGACTCTAGGAAGCTGGAAGGAAACAAATGTTGAAAACAGACGTCTGAATGAGCATCTCTACGGCAATAGATAACCGCACTGTACGAGTCGAACAGTTTGGCGAAGAGTGTCGTGGCAGACTCACGTCTTGGAAGGTCTCCGATAGAAGTCTAGCCTCGACTCCTTTATTCTTCCATTCCTTAGCGACCACCAACTGAAAGTCCGAACGGCAACAACTTCAAGTTGGAGGATTCTATCAAGCTTACCTTGTACATGGCGCCGATGGCCCCACCCGGGTTCTTGCATCCACTCGGCCTGTATAAGTAAAGTTCAGCTCAGACGTAATTGGCCCGCCTCGCACGAGAAGGAACCATATTCAGTGGGTAATGCTTACCGTTTATCTTTGATCGCTTTTTTGACATCATCTCGCACACTGGGCTTAGGGATAGACATATCCAACACGCCGACGACCATCTGAGGGAAGATAGCTGGGTGTCAGCGAGGTGCTGGATCCACATTGCTGTCCTCAATGCCTTTCTAACCCACGGTACTAAAACACTCCGTAGAACACGGTAGAGTCAAGCAGGATAGCTGCTTCAAGCGGTCTGCTTGTACGAAGATCATTTCATGTATATCCATGTGATCACTCAGCTAGTGACTAGCTGCTAGTCATCATCCAGCTATCAACTACTCAACCGTCGAACTCAATAGAGCAATTGAAGGTAGTCTCACTTGATTTCTAGTGTAGACTCCGACCCAACAACGAAACAGTTCACAACTATCAGGGTCGAATTCATCTGCGAGAAGGGATAGGTCATCTCCGTCCTTGTATTCACGATAGACGTAGTCGTCGAGCGAGCGCAGAGCCGCCTGGTCTCCCATCACCGTTAGGGAGAGTACTCCAGACAAGAGGGAAACGAGGAGTTTCATGTATGACCGAAAGAAGTCTTCACCTGGAGCGCAACATGTAACGTCCTCTTGGTCACGCCATTCACTCCGGTGAGAAACCCAACACTTGCATCTGCGCTTGATGATTCCAGTTTGTCATCAGAGGATGTCTTCAACCTGCTATCGAAGTCCAATCACATCCTGAAAAAGTTTCAGAAGTCTCCCTCGTTCCGGAGCTCTTCTGCTCTACTAATATCGATCAACTCGTGTACTTCACGCAAAACGCTCCGAATGAACAAGTTTCCGCACACACTTGTGCGGCCTAGATCTCCTACGCAATGTACACGAGTAAATCGACCACGGGGGGAGGAAGAAACATAAAAAGTCGAGACAGACAGGATCACCGTTGGAGGCGACTGCTCGGATCGTCGTAATTGTACCTCAACATGTGACAAGCATCTCATTCATCCATCTTGTTTGACGCGCGCAGGTCACCTGATGACCTACACGTATGTGCAGTTTCACGGCTGTTGATCGGACACTCAATCTTGTTACCTTCATTCCCCTCGTTCCCCCATAAGGATAGTATAGATTCCTTCCCGCATAGTATATACCCTCGTCGGCAACGGATCGTACCTTGCGTTGTACGAGTACTTCGTCTCTCACCTTACAGCATTCCGCTCCTGGCTTTTGGGAAGGTCTTTGTGCGAGGATGCGTGCGACTGCTTAGGTCGTCGCCGCCCGAATAGATTCGATCAGACTATGTGTTTGCCTGTCTCATTGCCCCATATGTTCCGACTGAACGCAACCGGCTTCCCGAAAGTGTGACTAATTGCTGAGCGAGCGGAGCATATACCGCAACAATAGGCACTTTCGCGTTGTACGTGCGTGCGTGCAGAATTATTGTAATGTAATGTAACTACGAAGCGTAGTCGATCATCGAACGACTCGTCTATGTGCCGAGGTTTGCGAAAGAGTCTGAAAAATAGATTTCTAGAACAACTCAAAGAGATATGCCCAAAGCGTTCTTCGACGGGAAAATGTCCAACTCGGGGATAGAACCGGAGACATCATCATTGATGATGATGATGATTCATCAAATCCATTGATTGAATCAATAGACGCGGACTAAGCGAGCTCCGCCCTTTCATTATGAAGACTTAGTGTATAATGATTGGTGGAGTATCATTCCACGCGATTTGACACATTCCCGCCGTCGATGTCCTGGGCGGGCAAACACCTTATGAAAGGGCCGAAAAGCCAACATCCAAGGCACTAATATCTGTAACCCCACGCATCGACGGCTCCCTTATTTACTATGTTGAACTTGAGACTCGCTTCTTGCTAATCGACTTTACGTATAAAAAACATGCAAGAATTGTTATCCACGAGTGTTGGGTAGTTGGTTCGGCGAATGACGTAAGCTATTTGTTAATGGCAGCTAGCACATAGAAGCGTCGAGTGATAGCTAACAATGTTAGCTTCATTATGTTAGTCTAACATGTTGAAGGGTCATCGACTGGTCCGCTTGTTTCTCCTGCTGATAGCTACTCTCGAGCAGCACCGATGATATCAGGTCCTGATGAGCAGGACCTGATAATCGAGTTACAAGTTATAGAATGCAGTTGTCAGCGATGGGCTTCTAAAGATTTTTTCCGACCGCTATGTTGCCCGCAGTATTATCATTCTAGTTGTGCATATACAGCACTACTAAGCAATTATCTGTTGCTATACATCTCCGCGGGGCAACAAAGGCCTCCACATTCAACTACCCAACTCGTGACTCGAGTCTTAGGCTAAGACTCTCAGCGTTTACCAAGAGAGTGCCGAAGATATAACCATCTTTATTCCTTCATCAGCAATTGTATCAGCGAATTCGCACTGCTTCCGTGCGCAATTGTATCTCCTAAGAGTAAATGCGCATAGTTTCAAGATCTCGTCTTCAAAGCCTCTTTGCAGTATTCTCAGCTCAAGAGAACGCCATTCTCTCGACCGTCTGACCTCTTCATCGGCCAGTCCTTGCTCAAAAAGCCTTGACACGAATTTGCGTCTCGCTGCATAACCGGCTATGTTATCTTAGTTCCATCCCAGCGCCTGCATTGACCCAATATTATTGGGCATTCCTTGTTCAAGGGCTCTTTCAGCTTCGTTGCAAGAAATTTCCGAATATCTGGAAAGATGCGCAGATATTGAGTCAGTATTATCGAGAATGTGAAGCTTCTTTATTTCGCAGCAGTAACTGATGACCAGGTCTTGCGGAACGCACCAACTAGCTCTGCAACTGCAGACGTTGGGGCATTCTGTCTTCTTTCTCGTCCCCTCTGAGTTTGTTTTCGTGCGGACCTTGATGACCACACCACTTGTGAGCTTCGAAAAAGACCGTTCTACGTACGGACACAGCGGACCGCGGCAATGCATACTGTCTAAGTTCCGTCCCGAAGGGAGTTCCAGTCCTAAACAACACCATCCATCATCGGTACGCACATGAGGACCAGAGGATGCTACGCCATCTTCAGAGAAAGATCGTCATGGGCCTGGGCTGAATGAACAATAGCTCAGAAGTCACTGGTTTCGGGGAGCACGGGATAGACAAGCCGCTTCAAGGCTTTCTGTCTGCCGCAATTAGCCCTTAGCAACTGGAAATACGGATCTCATGTGCTTGATGGTGTGGCTGACAGTCACAGTGTGGCCGATGGGAGCGTGGTAGTACGACGCTGCCATCGGCAACTTAGCGGCGGAGCTCCAAGTCGCTCCGCCCGGGCAACCTCGGGCTATCTTCCACACAGGCTCTCCCGCCAGGGCCATCGGTCATACAAGTGGGTCACGGCAAACCTGCGAGGAAGCGACTGCTGCTTCTGCAATGACTCCTTCCTTCTGATAAACAGACTGTACGCCATATGCTCGAGGTCCTTCATGTGATACCCATGGCCTTCCACAAGTCAGTGGTCTTCCACAAGCATATGTTACAGTCAAAATCGCAGCATAATGAAGCATTCAGACTGTACCAAGTTGGTACTACCAACCCTTTCTGTCGATATAGGCATCTCTTGGGCCCTGAACTGAGATATAAGTCATGCCTATGGCTCCAACGGCCATGCGGTGCGCATGATGCGCATCTAACGCGGCGTGAGTCATGCGGCATGATTCATGCCTCCTGCCAGCGGTCATGCTGGACTTCGTAGCGGTGCAGGCAATGGTAAAAAGGGAATGCATTTGAGGGTTCTTGATGATCGAAACCCGAATTCTTGATTTCCGTTTGTCACATTTAAGACTACATCTTTTTAGGCAAGGCGAAAATTTGAATTTATCAAACACAAGATCACTTTCGACTAACGAATGCTCACCTTACGTATCTTACGCTCTGGTAGATATTCGCTCACCCGCAGTATGTGTGCAATATTCCTGCATTGTGTCGTTATCAACCGAGACGGTTGTCCCTTGTTCGTGGATGAAAGATTAAGTCGTTATCTTTCGGTCAAGGTCAACCTCTCCAGTCTTGGAGGAGTTGTGTTATCATATCGGAATTCGAGACTGACTATGGTGACAACTCCCCTGACGGGTCCTCTGTATATGGTGGAGCATCTGACGGCCACATCTCAGAACTTCTGAGAAGTTCCCTCAAAAAGTTCTGATGTCTTCTGAGTAAGAAGACATCACTGACACCCGTGTCTTGCATGGTGCATCATCCGAGAAAGACGATGATGGTGATAGTTCTGAACAGGCCGATGACCCCAAAGAGGATGAGTTGATGTTCCTGAAGAGGGTTCATACAGCTGCTCAGTTGGTATACCGGACCTCAAAGGACACCATCTATGCTGGTAAAAAGCCGGTCGAGACACTTATACGAATTCTTGAGGTGGACTCCGGTAATCCTATTTATAAGTGTATGTCCTTTCACTGTCTCAAGGGAAAGGATCTCGCATCCTGGGTGTTTACATGGGCACGTTCCTGGTCTGTCAAGGCTCACCCGGATGGTCACGATTTATACCATGGTGGAAAGGGAAAACCCTCGGTCGTGGGACTATCCCAGAGTCTGGGATATGATATCTCAAGCTACTGCGAACTGCCAGCTCGACCCTGCTCGGAGCAGGCCGCTCCATTGCAATTGCTTGCTTTATGTTTGGTTGCGCCCAGAACTATCAGCGACCAGATCGCTTATGGGGCTCTGGAGGATCTGAAAGACCATGACTCTGTGGGACACGCGTCTGCTTCCTGTCTCTCAGCATGGCAAGAGATCAACAACCAGTCTACGTCGTCACGAATGGCCGATATTGTCACTCGCTTTATTGCAGGGTGTCGTAGGATGCCATCCTGAGGATGGTAAAACAGGCTAAGAATGACATGGTTGCTCTGAGCTCTGCTGAATGTCCCATGAGCATAATTTTATCCTCCTCCTCCACGAGTACGTTGGTCTTCCTGGGATGGTGAGAGATAATCCTCAGCCTTGGAGCCGGATTTGTGCTCGTGAGAAACAGAGTATTGAGAAGATAGCTGAGCACTCCGACGGTCCCGAAATAAATTGGCCACTGCGTCGACATCTCTATGTGGAACTGGTCGCTTCCAGCAGATGCTGGCAGTTGAAGAGAGAGCCCTTGATGGTATGTATGGAGAGAATACGAACATCGAAATGTCCTTCTGGTGTTATGGAGATTCTGACGGATGTAGCTTATGAGTCCAAGTTCACCAGTATAAACACCTTCCTCAACTTGAAGAGACATAATGAAAACTCTAATGCTGAAGGTGATGCGAGAGGTGCTCCGATGCCGAGGCTACAATGTAGCCGCTACATACCATGGATCCAAGAGTTACCCCCAGTAGTGATATTATAAGGAGAGCTCCTAGGTCATTCAATCCTCCTGCTCGTATCGAAGCTGTTGCTGCAGCTCATTGCGTTACTCAGCATGATTTAATGACTAAGATGAATAAAAGACAGGGCATAATCCGTGGTGAAGTTGGACACATGTATGTGGATCGTATGAAGTTCAAAGTTGCTGCTGGTTATTCTGAGAGGTGTTGCATTGCTATGAGAAGCAGTCTCTCCACTCTACTCATCGAGCCATTGACTATATCTCTACCCGGCCAGGAAAATGTACATGCGCGTTGCGGTTCCGACACGATGGCATCTGTATCAGTAATAAGTGGAACCTTCGTGACCCAAACGTTACTCGGAGGTCGTCCTGACACCAACTTTATAGTGAAATACCTACAGTGTAGGAAAGTCAATGGATCGAATAGTTCGATATTACAGTAATATCAAGTAATGTATCAAGTATCTAAGTTGATCACTTTATCAAGTATTACTTGATAAAGTGATAATGGTTGATATTAGCTTCCGTGGTTACGAAAATAGACAAGTACGCTAGATTATTCCAGAGCAGTGCTTAGGTTTGCCGGCCAGTCTTGACCTCAATCTGAGTTATCCTGACCTTTGTGAATATGGCATCAATGTGCAACTACCGGAACACGCGCCATGATTGAAGAGTAGTTCTAGATCGCTCGCTGAACTTGCTTTTGAGCAGCTCGTTCTACAGGTAGGCGAGAAACACCCTCTATCAGGTGCTTGTCAGTATCAAGGTCTTCTGAGACCCCTTTCGAGGTGGGACTCCCAGCTCGAAAGGGGTCTCACTGAGACCGTCTCAGCCTGGAAGAGGAAAGATACGCCGGTGCAGCGTTGTGTTTATGAGGTCAACTGAGACATGAAGTCAGAAACAGTAAAACCGCAAGCCTCGTACGACTACAATGTGGATATAATTGCGAACCTCAACTGAGTACCAGGGTGGCTGAAAGTGGGGAATTATACCTATTATTCCCGGGAATATTCCCAGGGAAGGGAATTAAGGAATTATTTTGGGGAATAATACCTGCATTTTCGGGAATTATGTAAAATAAAAGCCGAACAACGATGAACCTGTAGTTCCTTAATGGATTCTGAGGTT